TTTTTTCCGTCGCATTGAAACCTAGTTAAGCCTTGCATATGCAGGAAATAAACCTCGAAAAAACATCTTTCTATATATTTCTTCATTTCAAGAAATTCTGCTATTCGATGATATATATTATTTTGTGTGCCGGTGGGTGAAAGGGAGCTTGTTATTCGGACAATTTCCCATCACATGAGCTGGGGTTTCTGACTTTTGGCGACAGAGTGGCAAAGAGTTGGTTTCTGACTCTTAGCGACAGAGGGGTCAAATAAATTATGAGACTCAAAATTGGTATTTGGATATTGATTTTAGTTCACTACTATGTATTTTGTATTATCTTTATATAATTGTAGGCTGATTTTCTCTCTTTGTCTTTTCACATTTTTTTTTTCTTAGTCTATCTATGTCCATTTCATAGTAATATAGATAATAAATATTTATAGTTGATACTAAAAAATAACCTTTTACGATTTATTTTCATTTTAGTAACTTTTTAAATATAAAATAGATTTTATTCATTTCTATAAAAATAATAACAACGGTCGTTATCATGAAAATGGTTTTAATCTACATCGACTCAGAAGGCTCGATAATCTATTTTACATTACGTTTTTCAGATATCTTGCCTAAATTAAAATTTCCCAGGGATTTTTCTGTTAATCCCAACATCTAACCCTTATCTACATTTACATCTTACCTCCTCCTCCCCCTTTCCGCTACGTCTTAATACTCTTAATACTCTCCGACACCATAGTCTCACCCATCCCAACTACATTGCCAAAATTATGTTTCAGAGTTCTGGGAAGACCACTTCCAGTGCAGGTACCCCAACAGCTCCCGCACACCTTACAACAAGAAGTACACGAAGAGCTGCACGACCAAGGAGACGCTGAGCAGGGAGGGCATGGCCTTCGAGAAGCAGCTGCAGTTCGTCTCGGACGCGGTGATGGCCCTGGCAGTCGCCCTGCAGGACATGCACCGCGACCTCTGCCCTGGGGCCAAGGGACTGTGCGAAACGATGACTCCTACCAAGGGCAGTGAGCTACTCAAGTATCTCAGGGCTGTATCCTTCGAAGGTAAGGTCCCAGTTGAGCGATTTATAACATAACAGGTAGGATAACATTTTAAGGGGGCGGGGTGGCCGAATAGGCTAAAGCGTGTGTAACAGCACCGCTAGTTGCCTGGCAACCGGATAACAGAGATTTGAGATGATATAAAAAGTACGAGTTCGCGTCTCGGTGCCGGAGGGGATTTTAAATTTCCCCGCCCTCACTCCCCCCGGCCCGGGAAAATCCCGTATAGCCTAAAAGGCGAGATAGGGAAGAACAAAAAACAAAACAAAACAAAAAAAAAAAAAAAAGAAAAAGGTCCCAATTAGATTTTTTTTTTTATGTTATTCAGAGATAAGAAAGGTATCTATGATAGTAAAATTTCAGTATTTGTCAAGAAAAAAGAAAGAAAGTTAGATTCTTAGTAAATTTATTTTAAAAAAATAGAAATAACCAAAATGAATTTTATCATATTTTATATTAACCAACATAGTAGAATACTACGGGGTGGCGATGGAGGCAATCGTCCCTCCCCCTGTTCCTTATTTTATAAATCAAAAAAAAAGTTTTTATATACATTTCTAACTTTAAACTTTATAAAATAAAATTATATTTTATTTTTCTTTAATTTGACATTTTTTTAACATATGAATCAAATTATATATATTTGTTTATATATAAATTATATATTAATAAACATAATTTGGTTATATAATTAATTTGACACCAAACATGACTTTTTATGATTTCCTTTTTTAATTTATGGTGTTCTTTTTTCTATATGATGACAAAGAAAAGCGCAATTTTGATAGATAACATAAAGCATACTGATTTTTTTTTAGTATATTAATTAAGACCATGTTACCTAACATTTTTGTTTCAATTAGTTCCATCTACTGCTGTTTTTCACTTATTTCTACTGCAGTATGTATTTTTTATGTAAATACAATAAAACTACTATTTTCATTAAGAGAACAAAAAACAGTTAATCTATTTTTCGAACAACAATTTTTTTTTATCTTGTATAATTAAGGAAACAAAAATTAAAACATAAATCTGTAAGTATTTCTGAGAGAGAAACAGAGAAGAATGCAATCTGGCAGAGATAATAATGCAGTCCTCATCGAGAGCCAGAGACTGAGAGACCTGAATGAGAGAGAAGGGCTTATCTCATTACAGCCGTTAATAAAGGCGGAACGACCTTTCCTCAGGAGCAGATGAGGCAAAAGTTGCAATCAACGGAATAATCCCGACCCAAAAGTGAAAACCCGGGTTTATTAAACCAACCTTAGATTAGTCCTTAATCAGTTGGGGAATCATTGCAGGCGCCTATTGTCTACTTTCGAAAGTACCCAGACGAAGGCAGATTTAGATCTCTCCATCCCTTTTTATTCGCCTCCCTTTTCGCTATATTGTTCCACTAGCTAGTCTTCCATTCCCTCACCCCCTTCTCTCGTGCAGGCCCATGTCGCTATATTGCGATAGAGTATAAAGGGATACACCTGTGCGCTCTTCCCATTCCGATAGCAAGCCTGCCTGAATTCAGGTCACATAACGGAAAAGGTTACTTATGACTACATCTTGTTCGAACATTATTGCGGGTGTATCTACAATTATATGATGTGATTTTAAAATTGTTTTTCGTGCATTTATAACTTATTGTTGCATAAGGGCAATAACAAAGGTGTTTCGGTAAATCTAGATGAGTCGGTAGTAGATTCAAAATTTAATTTTGGAGAAAGGATTTTTTTTTTTTATAGTAATTATAAATATAATTACTCTGGAAGAAAAAGAAAGGAACTATGTAAAATGATGTTTAAGTGATCCTTAATTACAGCAAAAGTAATGTTTTTTTCTCTCAATCCACGCCTTTTAGGCTCTACGGGTTATTTCCTAGGCCAGAAGAGAGGGCGAGGAATTATTGTAAAATTCCTCCAATCAAACACGAACTCGTAATTATTTTATTACCATATCTGCGGTTTATCAGATCGCCGAGCTACGCGTTTTGTACACGCCCACTCCCTATTATATTTTTTTTTTATTTTATGTTTGGTTTTTTGTCCTCCCATTCCTTGTATCCCAGAGGATGATGTTGGGAAATTGATGCCAGAGTTAAAAGCTCCACTGGCCACCGGGAGGCGAACTCATTATTATTTTTATCAAATTATCTTTTATCCGTGTTGCCAGGCAACGCGCGGTGCTGTACATACGCTTTAGCCAGCTCGGCCAACTCCCCCTTATTTTATCTGAGATTACTAACAGAAACAAATATATACCAATTAAAAAAATATATATTAAGGAAGAGACTACAGGATAAAAATTTCCTTCCTTCCGCCTGTGATCGGCAGTGAAAGAGTTCAAGAATAAAATATTTCTAGTCTAATTACAAGATATTATAAGGATATTAATTATAATTGTAATAACGTTTGTGGTTACCTCAACTAGTATAAACAACTTCAACTAGTATAAATATTTTATTTACTCATAATCAGAACTGAGATTTTTATGCAGTAAAAACAGTAAAATGAGTAACAAAATATGTCGAAAAAATATGAAAATCTAAAAGGAGCAAAACTTTTCCTAATATTAAATAAGGTAGTTTTAATATTCAAATATATTAATGTTCCTAAAAAAATTCAGTCCTAGGAAAAAATTTGGAGATGGAATAAAAATTATTTCAATTTTTTTTTTTAAACTACGACTCCTCGATATCATTCCAGATAATTGAATCAGATTTATAGATACCAAAAGTAGTTGGAATCGATGGGAAAGTATCGATAGTTCACTTATATCGATCAGTATCCTACGTCCTTCCTCGTGTACATTATACACTACGGTATCCGTAATGTTCCGTTAATCCCAGGCGATGTCATCCGCCGCCTACGGGTACACCTGGACAAGAGACTAGCCCGAAAACTTCATACAATATAGAGTCGACAGGAAAGTTCTATTAGATTCCATCCACTTCAACTCTCCTACACCAAAACTCTAAGCAGAGTTCATAACAAAAATCTGATACCGCCAAACCAATCTAATCTCAAATCCAATACCATCAATACTCCCAAAGCAGGAGTCCTAAATATTTTTCTACCTACGGGTCTATATAAATATAAAAATATATATATAAATAATAATCTACTTCTAAAGATATCCAAGAATAATTAAAAGAATGAAAAAATACTTACAAAAGTAAACCATTGAGAAATTTAAGTAGTTGTTCAAAATCAATCAGAACAGTACAATAATTTATAATTTGACTCTCCTACCGCTACTTATTAAGGAAAGTATTGCGATCGGATCGAATTTCCGATGTGTGGATTCAACGGATTTTTACTTAATATTGTAATATTGTAGTTTTACTTAATGTAGGAGAGGTGTATAAAGAGAGAGGTGTATAAATGAGAACAGTGGTTTGCGAACTACCGAATCCGATCCGCAAAAGTTACTTTAATTGCATGGTAAAATTTTAAAAACTATTGAAAACATATGAAATTTAGGAAATCAATCAAACACGAGGTTATTATATTTATTGCATAAGTTGTTTCGTTTAGATAGCTTATTTCACATTATTCGGTCAGCACCACGTAGTGGAGGTCTCAGATCGACCCGCAAACCAAAAATTTTGGCCCTGAACAAGAGCACAGAAATCAGTAATGGTTTTCGAAGGCCTAGGACAAAATTCTTGGGACTTGTGTACAATATACTGATATCACACCCAATATTCACTATTATCATTTGCTAGAATTTCACTCAATACATAAATATTCCCATCTTCATTAAGTAACAATGATTAATTTGAATAAATAAAGAGCGCGCATGATTTAAACTTTCAACTGGAATCAAGCAAATTAATGCAGAGCGAACCGGTGTATTAATATCAAGAGAGGCGAGAACGCAACAGTTGACGGCTGATATCGAAGGGACTAATTATGGGAGGTGATAGAGCAAGCTAACAAGCTTACCGGCCTCACTTACCCCAATCAGCCAGTTCAGGAGTACCAATACCTGTCCGGGTCCAAAGGAAGGGGATGGAAGCTATGGCTACAGAGTACTTGTTTTCAAGAGTTTAAGTCAACAGTTATTCCTCCTTTGGGATAACAGTCCAAACTAATATTAATCAACGATAGAAAAATTTGTAAGTTAAATATTGGATAAAGAAAAAAAAGTCAGCCAAATGGGGTTAGCATACTTTCCTTTCGATTTTAATTGGGTAGAATACCAGTGAAGTGGTTGAGGAACAAGAGCAGGGAAAAGAAGTCTCGCTTTCCCTCCACATATGGGGGGATAAGTATGGTTCGGAGTTCCCATGGCCGACTGTAAATAGCACAAATAGGTATGTCTGCGTCTAAGATGTTTATTTTCATTACTTTTTTTTTTAAGATAATTTTAATTCTATTTTATTCATTTTTTTTATTCTATTATTACTATTATTTATATTTTCTTCCTTCACTATGATATTTTATTTTGTTCTTATTTAGCTTTACATTATTTTAAAATTACCTTATTTTTTTTTTTTTTTTTAATTTGTAAATATGGTGTGAGCTCTCAGAACTCTATTATAAATGACCTTTATTGAGACAGATTGTAATATTTATCAATAAACAAATTTTTTAAAAATTGGATAGAAGTTATGAAACACGAAATTTCTAGCAAAGAAAAATTCAAAAAATATCTCATCGAAGAGTGGAACACGACAAGCCCAGAATACACCAAAACATTGGTCGACTCCATTACAAACAGACTTAAAGGAGTGGTAGAAAATAATTGCTTGCCTATACGGTATTGAACTAAATTAATAGTATTTAAAAGTTAATAAGAAGAGAGGTGTATCAATTTGACTACTGGTACTGGTACTGATATTGGTGGGGGGACAAGTGGGCCTATTGGTCCTTTTTGCTAATCCCAAAGATGATACTACCAATGGTTGTCTATTGTACCTCCAACTCTGTCTCAAACATTTTTGTTCTTTAAGTGAAGTTCAAAAGGTT